CTAGATGTTCATTCAGCACATGTTGTCGGGGACATTTTCATATCTGGCCACTCGGCCAGATGGCTGCAGAGGAGAAAGTCAGGCTGGTGACTTTGCACAGCCCTGCCTCACTTAAATCCAATTCACCTGCATGTCATGGCATCATCTCGCTGATGTCATGGTCTTCTTCAAGAATGAAGGACAAAGGGGCAACTAGGTGGCGCAGTGTATACAGCTCTGGCCTTGAAGTCAGGAGGACACAGTTCAAATCCAGTCTCAGACACAGGACACTTACTAGCTGTGTGACCTGGGGCAAGTCACTTAACCCCAATTGCCTCACCAAAAAGCAAAACAAAAAACCAACCAAACAAAAAGAATGAAGGACAAACACCAACAATGCAGCCCACTCTCCTTATATAACTCCTTTGCTCTTTTTGGCTTTTACAGCCTCTGCTCCTGTCTGCTCTTCATTCTGACTATTATGTCACCCCCTTTTTTTTTTCCTGACAGTCAGATTGAAGCTTTTGTTTTTCTCCTCTCCTCTTTCCCTTCCCTCTGACTCTTTCTGCCTTTTTCTCATGGCAGTTTATTCAGAATCAAAAACTCTATACTACAATTGTTATAAATAGGGTCAATTTTCACTCAATCCATTTCCAATTTTTTTTTCATCATTAAAGTGAACTTAGACAACTAGGTGGCATGGTGGGTTAGAGCACTGGGCCAGGAGTCAGGAAGAACTGAGTTCAAATCCAGACTCAGACACTTTCTTGCCAGCTGTGTGTCTCTGAGCAAATCATTCAACCTATTTGCCTCAGCTTTCGCATCTGTAAAATGATAATAACAATAGCACATTCCAGAGAGGGCTGTTGTGAAGATTAAATGAGTTAATAATTGTAAAGTGCTTGGTACATAATAACTACAATATAAATGCTAACTATAATAATCATTATGCTTATATGTCTTTAGAATTATTTTTAGTTGTTAATTTTCTTTCAAAACATGAATTTAATTTTTTCTTCTGGTTTTGTGTGAATTTTTGTTTGTCAATTGATAAATCTCCTTCTTATTGTCTATATATTCTTGGACAAGTCACAACCTATTTCAGTCTCATTTTCCATTCTTCAAAAATTAAGGGACTTTTAACCAAATTAGGAAATATTATTCAGTTTTAGTTCCTACCTCATTTATATTATGAAATCTTAACCGGGTCCTAATGGCTGCAAGGCAATCCTATCACACTTTCCTAGTTGATTCATTTTCCCACTCACTGCAATGGTATTTCTAAACCGTCCACCTCAAACATCCCATAGCTCCCCTCCCTCACTTCTTTCAGATAAGAACTTTCCTCATTTTTTTATTGAAAAAATACACCATTATCCAAGAGCTCTTTCTTAGCTTCTCTTCTTAATCTCAATCCACTCAGATGCCTTCCATTTTTATCTCCTCCTTTATTCATCTCGCATTAAGAGGTAGTCCCTGTTCTTATAAAGGCAAACATCTCTACATTCCCAAGTGGTCCCATTTTATCCTAATTCTCCAGTAGATTATTCTCTCCATCATCCTTACTCTCTCACTTATGTTCAATCTCTACTTACATTCTAGCTGCTTCCCTCGTGCCTACAAACATTTCCTCATATTCCATATGAAAAGAATCAAACAAAAATATCAACGAAGCAACATCCACAATAACAAAATCTCACTTCATCCATTCCGTCCTGGCAGGTATCGTTCCTTTTCTCTCCTCCTGTTTTTGCTCACCTCTATAATAAGACTGTGTATAGTAAGTCCCTTTTCTTCTTTCTCTCTTCTTAACTCTTTATACTTTGGCTTCTATCTTATCATTCATCTGAATCTGCTCTCCCCAAAGTCACTAACAATCTCTTAATTAACATATGGAATGAACTTTTCTCAATCCTTATTGATACCTCTGCAAACCTTGCCACTGTAGATGATTTTCTCCTTGAAATTCTTTGTGTTTTCATAAATTCCTTCCCTCCTGCTACTCCTCCTACATACCCTCTCTTTCTCAGTCTCTTTTGCTGAATCTTCACTCAGGCCAAGCCTGCTAAACATTGGTGTCCCACAGGCCTCTCTCTTGTACTCTCTTCTTTTCTCCCCATATACTTTGTCACCAGGTGATCTTACCAGCTCTTATAGATTATATACTACCTCTGTGCTGATGATTCACAAAGCTGTGCATCCAGCCTTTCTTCTCTGATGACTCCTATTCTCGTATCTTTACTTGCTTATTAAACATTTTGAAGTGGGTGTCATACTGACCTCTTAAATTTAATATGCCCAAAACTGAACCCCAAACTATCTTTCCCTAGAGTCCCCCTCTTCCTAACTTCCCTATTATTTTGTAGCTACCCAGGTCCACAAATTAGGTTTCATCCTTTATAGCTATACTCTACCCCCACACTCATATCCAAAATTTGTCAAGATCAGGTGATTTTACCATTACAACAACTGTCTTGTGCAATCTTTTCATTCCTCTAATACTTCCACTACCCTGGTTAGGACCTCATCAGCTCAAGCAATCACAATAACTTGCTCACTGTTCCCCAGCCCAATGTCTTTCTCCATTCTACTTGATCTTCCATTCAGTAAAGTTAGCTTCCTACAGCCCACATCTGACTACTCCTACAAAACAGAATCCAGTGTTTCCCTATCACTTCCCAGATGAAATATGAAATTATCTCTTAGTCATTCTACATCCACTATAACCTCTCCTTCTTACCTTTCTGATTTTCTTGAACCTTACAGGTTTCCCCCTCCCTTTAAAGGGTACTCTGTGATTCTGTGCTATTGGCCCTCTTACTCTTTCTTCAGCAAGCCCTTCAGGCTCCAGACTCTGGGCGATTTTATTTTCTACCTCCCATTCCTGGAAATATTTCTTCTCACTCCTGCCTTCTTCTTTCACATATTCCATCAAATTCTTAACAAAATCCCACCATCTGTTGGGAATTTATAGAAATTACCTAATGCCTTTCCTGATCCCCCTTACATTTGGTGCCTTCTCTTCGTTTTTCATATCTCATTTAAGCAACAGGTAGCTTTTTTGTACAGAGTTGTTTGCATCTTCCCCATCACACTGTGAGCTCCTTGAGTATAAGGACTGTCTTTTACTTTTCTTTGCATCCCCAGCTCTTAGCATAGTGTCATAATAAGTGCTAAATAAATGTTTATTGAATGACTGACTGACCAAATGTCCTCTAAGGACCATTCCACCTCTAAATCTATGATACAAATTTGTTCTTGGTAACTAGTGTACAAGCTCCAGTCATTGTTCAGAATATTTTTATTGCTCATACGTATTGTGAGTACAAGAATGCAAGATGATAACATGAGCCATGGTGTGATGTTTCCTGTTCATGTATACACTTTCTCACCTACTTCATTTACATCTTCACGGAGAACATTAGACCCAGTCTTTCATCTAACTCCAATTTTCTTTGTGTCTCCTGGTTTCATTTATAGCAAGGATGTCAAGATTGACACAATCCATTTCTTATCATCAATGAATGCTTTTTCTGGTCACTTAATAAGCATCACACATTTAGAGTAACAAGATGTAAGTTGATGATTACAGGTTGTCTCAAACCTTTGTAATTGTTAACATGTGTAGTCCTACTGTCCCTAACTTTCTTATTGTCACGAAAGAAACAGAAGTAATTGGAAAATGATGAGGGATATTGTGTTTTTCCTTTATTTGATTGGTTGCCACCAAAGAAAATATTCATTCTGTTTCTAGCAACCTATTGAAGATTTTCAGAGTGGTTGAATATAATAGAAATTATGTTACATCACAAAGACAAGGAGAACCCAGAGTTACCTCAACATGAATATGAAATGAACCATTTTAAAGCAATTACATACAGATGATACTAGAATATTATATTTGTATAAGCTATGCATTTGCTCAATGCTTTCTAAGATAACATTTGGGAATCATTTAGCACAGTGACTGGCAAATGGTAGGCACTTTTTAAATACTAGCTGGTATTATTATTGTTTTTTTTGTTGTTGTTGCATTGTTTCTTTTTATTGTTACTTTCCATATCTTCTGCCTTTCTACATCTGTCTTTTAAAAAAAAATAGAAGACCATATGTATACTGCTATAATTCTCATTTACATCACTTCTGATATATTCTTATATTCTTGTGCAACCCTTTTCAGAGGTAATTCTGGGGAGCTGTAAGTTTTTGGCTCTTCCATGGTGGTATGATCTAGGGAGTTCAAGATTCTCCTGTACTGTGGTTTCTGAGCAACCACAAGCACACTTTTCTTTTTTTATTGGCTTTTGTTTATTAATTTATTTGGAATTATCAACAATCACTTCCATAAGCTTTTGAGTTTTAAATTTTTCTCCCCCTCCCAACCTACCTCCACCTCAAGACCATGCTCAATCTAATATAGGATATATATATATATATATATATATATATATATATATATATATATATATATATATATATACACACATTCCTGTTAAACATATTTTCAAATTAATGACATTGTAAGTAAGAATTACAGCCAATAGGAGGAACCACCAGAAAGAAGAAATAAAACGCAAAAGAAGAAAAGATAGCTAATAGTATGCTTCGATCTACATTCAAACTCTGTAGTTCTTTCTTCTTTAGGGATAGCATTTTCCATCACAAGGCCTTGGGAGATGTCTTAGATCCTAATGTTGCTGAGAATGGTTGTTTATCAACATTAGTCATTGCACAATGTGGCTGTTATAGTGTACAATGTTCTTTTGATTTGCTCATTTCACTAAGCATCAGGCCATACAAGTCTTTCTAGGTTTTTCTAAAGTCAACCTGTTCATCATTTCTTATAACACAATAGTAATCCATTGCATTCATATACCGCAACTTGTTCAGCCATTCCCCAATTGATGGGCATGCTCTCAATATTCAATTCTTTGCCACCACAAAGAGAGCTGCTATAAATATTTTTGTACGTGTGAGTGCTTTTCCCATTTGTATGATCTGTCTGAGATATAGCCCTAGAAGTGCTATTGCTGTGTCAAACAGTATGCACATTTTTATAGCCCTTTGGGCATGGTTCCAAATTGCTCTCCAAAATGGTTAGATCATTTCACAACTCCACCAACAACGCATTAGTGTTCCAATTTTCCCACATCTTCTCCAACATTTATCATTTTCCTGTTTTGTCATGTTGGCCAATCTGATAGGTGTGATGTGGTACCTCAGAGTTGTTTTGATTTGCATTTATCTAGTCAATAGTGATTTAGAGCATTTTTTTTCATATGACTATAGATGGCTTTAATTTCTTCATCTAAAAATTGCCTTTCTCCATCCTCCTCCCCCCATTTATGCTTTTCTTTCTCCTTTCTCCTTTTTTCTCTTCACTGGTATTTTACTTTTAACCACCACTTCCATTAGTCCCTCCTCACTTCTATTCGCACCTTCCTTTTTCTTCCCCTTGACCTTACAGCTTCTTCCCTCCCTTCTATTGCCCTCCCTTTTCTTTCCCCTTTTACCTCCTACTGCCTATAGGGCAAGTTAGATTTCTATGCCTTATTATATTATTGCCTTCTTGAGCCAAATCTGAAGAGAGTAAGGTCCAAACAATGCTCACCTCCCTCCCTTCTTTCCCTCTGCTGTAATAGGCTTTTGTGTCTTTTCCTGTAGTGTAATTTACTCTTGTCTGCCTTCTCCTTTCCTTTTCTCTCAGTACATTTTCTTAGATCAGATTAATCCACTTACTTGGATCCATCTGACCCACTTAATTAGATTTTTTTTATCATTACATCAAAGTCAACTTACATCCACCCCCTTAATGTATAGCCTTTTAACACAGTATAATAACAACACAGTTCTCAAGAGCTACAAGTGTCATCTTCCCTTGTAGGGATGTAAACAATTTGCCTTGTTAACAACATATTGTATGTTACTGTCCTGTTTACTTTTGTATGTCTCTCTTGAGTCTTGTATTTGAAGGTCAAATTTTCTATTGAGCTCTGGTCTTCTGTGAGGAAGGTTTGGAAGTCTCCTATTTCACTGAATATCCATCTCCTCCTCTGAAAGGTCATGCTCATTTTTTCTGGGTAGTTGATCCTTGGTTATAATCCAAGCTCTTTTGCCCTACAGAATATCATGTTCCATGACCTGTGGTCTTTTAATGTAGAAGCTGCAAGGTCCTGTGTAATCCTGATTGTGGTTCCGTGATATTTAAATTGTTTCTTTCTGGCTGCTTGCAGTATTTTCTCTTTGACTTGGTAATTTTGGAATTTAGCTACTGCAATCCTTGGCATTTTTAATTTCGGATCTCTTTCAGGAGGTGATTGGTGGATTCTTTCTATGACTATTTTACCCTCTGGTTCTAGGACCTCAGGGCAGTTTTCCTTGATGATTTCCTGAGGAATATGGTCCAGGCTCTTTTTTTCATCATGATTTTCAGGTAGAACAATAATTTTTAAATTGTCTCTCCCGGATTTATTTTCCAGGTAAGCTGTTTTACCAATGGGGTATTTTATATTTTCATCAATTTAAAAAATTTTTTTTTGTTTCTGTTTGACCAATTATTGCTCTCTCATAGAGTTATTAGCTTCCATTTCCTCAATTCTAATTTTTAACAAATTGTTTCCTTCTATTAGATTTTGTACCTCCTTCCACTTTTGGGCAATTTTATTTTTAGGGATTTGCTTTCTTCAATGTACTTTTTTCCCAGTGAGCCAAATGTATTTTAGGAACTTGTTTTCTAGGTATACATTTTTTCCAGTTGGCCAATTGTACTTTTTTGGACTCTTCTACCTCTCTCATTTGACTTTTAAAATCCTTTGGCTCTTCTAAGTAGGATTTTTTGGCTTCAGACCAGTTCATATTCTCTCTTGAGATTCCAGATGTGAGTTTGTTGACAATGTTCTCCCTTCAGAATTTCTGCCTTGACCTTCACTGTTCTCGTAATATGAATCTATGGTATGTTTCTTTTTACTCACGGTATTTGCTTATTCCCTGGCCTTTAAAGAGATTGAGCTCTCCTGCTGGGAAGCAGAGGGCACTCACCCAACCTTCTTGTGTTGGAAGCCTTGGGCCTGGTCACTTGCTTTGTGTGCTGAGGCCTCCCATGCTGGCAATTGGAGGCTGTAGGGTTTTGGCAGCTTACCTGGTATTGGGCTGGAATCAGCAATACTGGAACTTTAATGGTAGGATTGGATAGTCTGGCCCCTGCATGTTGCCTGCTTTTCCTTTCCTTTCACTTTCTTCAGCTCCTTTCACATGGATTTGCAGGATTTTTATCCACCTGGGGCCCCTTGGAGCACTTTACAGACTTATGCTGAGTAACTGGGAGACTGCTGTAGAATACCTAGGCACCCGGTGGTTTTTTAAGCTGTTTTCCACCAGTTACCCCACCCTCACGGAGGCATTAGAAGGTCCAAGTGTTGGTGCTTGCCTTCTCCACCACCTGGGTTTCAGGATCTCCTCCTGGCATGTGGAGGTGGGGCTTTCCGCTAGCTTGCTGAGATGTCTCCTATTCCATATAGCTCCCCTTCTCCAGGGCAGGAGTGGCCTTTCCTGTTAATCACTCAAGCTACCTGGGCTACTGGACTGCTGGATTCCATCTTTCTTCTGGTTCAGCTGTTCCGGGGTTTCTCCTGCAGCGATGTTTTCTGGGCTTTCAGACGTTGATACAGGAGGGTCAGAGTGACTTACTTTTTACTCTGCCATCTTGGCTCCTGGAAGCAGAACTCTACAAAATGGCTCTTTCATATACTCAGTGGTTGCAGTCAAACAGGCTTACTTACCATTTTCTGTAAAGAACATCTTACTTCCATGCCTTTTGCATACCCTCTCCTCCATGCCCACTACAAGCACTCTTTTCAAGCCTGGAACTGTGACCAGAGCCCCTGCTCCCCTGTGGCCACAAGCTCTCCTGTCCTCCCATTTGGACTAAGACCCAGGTCTACGATCTAGATCCAAGAATAAGCTATACAACAGAGTCCTGCCCCTGGTGTCAGCAAATGGACCCCTGTAAATCTCCTTCTAACACACTGTCCAATCCCCTTACCATCGATGGGCTCGGAGGTCAGGAAACCACCATGTCTGCCATGCCCGCCACTGACTCTGTTACCTTGAGGCTTGCTCCTAGTTGGCTGGGGCCCAGTCTGGGCTGGCTGGTGCAGCCTGCATTGCACTGAGCTCCTCTCTCACCCTGGTGCAACAGACCTTTCTTGCCAACCTTCTAAGCTGTCTTGGGCTCAAAAATCATTTCACTCTTTGTGTGGGTTCTGCTGCTTTAGAATTTGTTTAGAGTCATTATTTAAAGGTATTGTGAGGAGTTTGAGAGAAAGCTAAGGTGATTCCCTGCCTTTGCTCCACCATCTTGGCTCTGTCTTCCTATATTCTTGTATCCTTGAAAGACCTTAACTTAATTGAGGGTCAGAATTATACCTTCTATTAGTATCTCAAGCACCTCGGACATTACCTGGCAAACAATTTGCATTTAACAAATGCTTATTTATTAACACTTGGATCTTTATATTTGGCTTTTGTTGTAGAATTATATTATTTTATATCAATATACAAATTTACAAAAACAATATGCAATTAATGGACTTGTTGGTTGCTTTGGGATTTACTGAAAATTAATCATCTGATAATATATAGGGGTCAGATAGGAAATTTCCTTTTTTAAAAGATATTTATTTTGTTAAATGGTTAAATTAGTTTTGTGATTCCTAAAATAATTTCAACATAAGGTTTGAAACATTTTTGGCTATCTTTGCTGCAACAAAAATATAATAATGTGTCTTTTCCCCATGGCCCAACCATTAAAGTTCATCATTTTTTTAAGCTTTAGTTGCTAGACTTTTATTCATAAATAGAGTAATTAAATTAATATTTTATAGTGCCTCAAAGATAGAAAATCATTTACCATAATCTCATCTGATCACCATAAATATGTTGTAAAATAATTACTTTTATTCTATTTGAAAGATTATTGAGCATGTGAAAAGCGATTATCTTGACCAGGGTAACATGATTTTCTGTGATAATTTCTCATTTTAACCTGTTTTGTATTATCATATTTTTATAACACATTTTAAAAATATTCTTTTACATGTATCCTTTAGGAATTGAACTTATGAATTCATTTTTCCAGCAGCAGGGTCAAAACCACCAAAAGGAAAAAAGGCTCAGCATTGTAAGATGGACTTTTGGTGTCATATCTATGTTAATTCTTATAATTTTGCTAATTTTCATTCTGGCTACCAAGGAAAAAATACAAAAAATACAAACCAGTCTCAGTGGGCCCCATACCCTTGCAGATGAATTATATCAAAATTCAGCCCAACACACAGACTATCTAGGTGTTCCCCAAATGCAGCCCAGTCTTTGTGGATAACACCCTTCAGAAATTTAACAAATCTTTGCTTTTCTCCTAGGATTTTTCAGCACTGACCACAATTCTTCTTCCCAAGACTTGGAGAAAATGATGCTTATTTACCTGGTGTTGGGCATTCTCTTCCTTATTCAGATGGGAGTTGGCATTCTTGGGAATTTCTTCATCCTGGGCCTATACACCTTCACTTTACTCACAGGCCATAAGCTGAAGCCCATAGAGGTAATTTTTGCCCACCTAGCTTTGGCCAATTCAAAAGTGATACTCTCCAGAGGGATCCCTCAGCTGATTGTCTGCTTGGGCTTCAAAAATTTCTTGGATCCCATTGGGTGCAAATTTATTGTTTATCTTTTTGTTGTGGCCCGGAGTGTTTCTCTCAGCATGACCTGCCTCTTGAGTGGTTTTCAGGTCATCATCATCAGTCCCAGTAACTCCTGGTGGGCAGAACTTAAAATCCAAGCCCCAAAGTGCATTTTGCCCTCCTGTTTTCTCTGTTGGTGCTTCTATCTGCTGATAAATTGCACTTTGCTTGGGACTATGCATAACTCAAGGTATCGACTAATAATACAAAGATATGGTATCTGGGATATTGTTCAATTTTAACTCCTGCCTCTTTTAATGCTGTGCTTTTTGCAATTGTCTTTTCTATGCCTGATATTATATGTGTGGGATTCATGATCTGTTCCAGTGCTTACTTAGTGCTTCTCCTGCACAGACACCATCAGCAAGTCCAACATATTCATAGCCCTCATCTCTCTTCCAGAACTGTTCCTGAGAAAAGAGCCACCCAGGCAATCCTCCTACTAGTGATCACCTATGTCTCCTTTTATTCCATTAATTCTAGCTTGTCATTTTACCAGTTTAAAACTGACAAATTTCCACCCTGGCTCGTGGCTGCCACAGACCTCCTAGCTGCATGGTTCCCAGCCATCAGCCCTTTTGTGCTGATCTTCTTTGACTCCCAAGTCCTCAAATATTGGTATGCTCTGTGGCATAGGAGGCATTGCTGTCTCCTATGCCACACTGTCCACAACCATACCCATTTCCAGAATTCTTCCCTAACACTATAGTAAACAAGTGTTTTTCCAAAGCTTGTGGGACAGTGACAAGAACAGTGGAATCTAAGGATTTACAAAGGACCTCTGTGATCATGTGTTCAAACTCTTTCCTCTTTTACAAGAGTGTTCTTGTTCAGATATGTTTTTGATGACACTGATACAAGTGACATAGTTATTTCTTAAATTCATGTCTCCTGATTTCAAATCTACTTTTCCTTTCATTAGACCAATGATGTAAAACTCAAATAGAAATAGAGGCCACTGAACCATATATAAGGGTCTCTATAAGTTGCATAATGACTTTATTGTAAGATATAATATTATCTGTGTTTTAGAGATACCTCGGGGCTCAGTGGACAGAGCACTGGGCCCGGGGTAAGGAAGACCTGAGTTCAAATCCAGCCTCAACCACTTCCTAGCTGTATGACCCTACTCAAGTCACTTAACCTGTGATTGCCTGACAAAATGAATCCACTGGAGAAGCAAATGGAAACCAGTTCTAGTACCTTTGCCACAAAAACCCAAATGGAGTCATGAAGGGAAAGATACTTGTGAAATGACTAAAAAACAACAACATTCTCCATATTTTATTGTGTTTTTTTTAATTAATTTTGTTAAATGTATCAAAGTTACATTTTAATACACTATAAGTCATACTCATGAATGTCATGGACCAAAATGTGTTCCTTTGACAGTGACAAAAGAATTTTAAATATAGTCTAGACTACACTTGTTTCTAACCTCTGGATGGCCAGAACTAATCAAACCAGGCCAGAGGCATGTGAGTCACCAATCAAATGGCAGTTTAATTTCAGACTGAGTAAAATGGGCTTGCACGCTAAGTCCTCCTGAGAAGGAGGGCTTAGTTGCTTATGGCAGAGGTGGGATTTTTAATATGAAAACTACAAAAAAACAGGACCCCACACAACCATTCTTACGTCTTGAGTAAACAATTCTCATGGTATGCCCACAAGTGCAGGAATTTTGGGGACAATACAATTCATTCATAGTTCCTGAGAAAGAGTGTCCAAGTTATTAGAATTGTTGAATCTTTTGATTGTGTCAAGTCTTAAGGCTCCTTGAGCCTTGTGATCATTCAGTAGGGTACAGAACCAGAGTCAATGTTGTGGGAACAGGATGTAGCACCAGGTTCGTTTCACTTAGCAGTTACAAGCACAGGAATTGTTTATAGTGTGAGGCAATGTAATTGATCATTTTCTGCTATAGCATGTAGGCTGCAGTTCCAGCTTTCAGGTCAGAATCCCCTGTGAAATAGGGAAATCATAAATTCCATTTCTGAGGTTTTGCCTTGGCTGAGATCATCCAGAAGGTGAGCACAAAGGAATATTGTTATGCCAAGCTGAGGGTACACAGCCTACTTGCTGGGGTTTAGCTCTGGAAAACAGGGTGTCTCCTAATATCTTGACAGAAGTATGTTTGACACTTCTGCATTACACCATACCAGTGCTCATGTTGCTTGAGCAACATTTCTCATTTCTTCCTCCTCATCTTGAGTTCTCTAAATTGAAAAATTCCCCAAATATTTTGTGAGGAAATATAGTGTAGAAAATAAGGTGCTGAGCTTAGAAATAGGAATGCTTAGGATCTAATCCTGCCTCCTTCATTTAGGAGCACCATAACATTTTAAAAATCTTGAACTTACCTGAGTCTCAGTTTTCTCTTTTGTATGATTGTGATATTAATGCTCTATAATGTGTTTGCAAGGTTCTTTTAGAGACCAAAAGGACCTTGTACAAAAACTGAAAAATTGAAAACACTAAGTAGATATTTTTTCATTATTATTAATAATCAGTAACATAATAATCTTACTTTGCCCTTAAATATTCAATTTCTCTTGGACTCACCCTTTAGTCTGCTATAATTTCAGCCCTATACCATGGATTAGCAAGAATCATCCCATCCAGCTTCTCACAGAGAGGAGATGAAATTATATAATATTGATAGATGCTTATAAAGATCAACTTAGAATGGTATGTAGTTCTTAATATATGTTTAAGGTATATATTATATGTATATATTAAATATACATTTACATATACATATATATACTATATATGAATATAAGGGTTTAGTTATTTTTCAATATCTATCTATTTTGAACAGATTAAACTAATATTACCTGTGATTTCTTCTCTGCTGATACCCAATGTATTGATTCTACTATATAAATGATTTCATTCTATATTAATATTGTAATTGGATATGCTTTCTCATTTTGAGTTAATCTCAGGAATCCAGCTAAGCTAGCTCAAAGACTGCTTAGTTAAAAATTGTTATCTCTCATTTAAGTATCCCCTAGGATATTTCTTAAATATCTATTTATTCCACCCTACAAAATTACAATCTCCCAAAATGTGCCATCTGTTCTTTCCTGGTTTTGCAAAGTTAAGGAAGTTTTTATCTCTCCCAAGAAGACAGCAAGCCTGTTAGCTGTGAATGCTTAGCAAAGACTACAAGATATAGTTGGACACCATTGAACAATAACATTCCTTAATTGGGAGAGAGGGTCATGATTAGCCCTTCCTGAATGCCACCCTATCCTAACTGAATGCTAGCCGCCTCTCTCAATAAAGCCAGTTGTAATATTTCTGCCCCATCTCTAAAACCTATTAATTTTTCCTTCATGCTTATCAAGACCTCTTCTTTGTTGTGTGTTAATGATGAGGGTTCCTTCCTTGTCTGAGGTCAATGGCTTTGTGGAGGTTGCTAGATTGACTTAGTTAACAGCCACACACATTAGTGTTAATCAACTGATCTGATTCAGAAGGTTGGATCTACATCTATCTCTATTGCATTTACTAGACACACTATCTTCATCTGAATCTTTGTATATTTATCTCTGTCTAACATCTAGCTATCATTTCTTTACATGGGCAATGTGGAGAATATTTTTGCATTACTTTGAATATTTCTATGAGTTTTTTTTCCAATGGGGTAGAGAAAGAAAAGAATCATTTTAATTGAAAAAAAGAAATAATATTAAGGAGTTCACAATGATATTAATATAAAAATATTATACTAAGGAGTCCAGGTGAAAAAACCATCCTCATGAAATAGTCCTATTTCATTTGCACTTGAGTTTTGGTAAGGTAGTCAGAGTATCATGGGACTGCCGGGGATATGGAGAAAATAAATGGTTGGGAGGAGGTATCACCATGGATTACACTTACTCATTTGATACTTTACTCAGAACAGTGGTAGCTGGAGAAAAAGTCTTTGGTGAAAGTTTTTCTTTTGTTTGTTTGCTTGCTTTTTATTTTATAAAAGTCTCCCGTAAAAACAGATACAAGGAGCTGATTCCAATTTATAAGACTGGGAGATATTTCCCAACAAATAAATGGATAATATTATATATAGGTAATTGTCAAAGAATGAAATAAAATCTGTAAACCACCATATAAAAAAAATACTCCAAATGCAAATAGAAGTAACATCTCACACTTGTTAAATAGGCTAAGATGACAAAAGATGAAAATAATCACCATAATAAAAGCTCACATTGATAAGTCCTCTAAGGTTTCCAAAGCACTTCACAAATATTTTATTTGATTCTCTTTGTGCCCCCAAAAAATATCCTGGGAGGTAGGTACTATTATTATCTCAATCTCATAAAGAAAGAAACTGAGGCACAGATACGTTAAGTGACTTGCACTTGAGTCATCCTAATCTAAAGTGTCTGAAACTTGACTTGAACTCAGGATTCCCTGATGCCAGATCCAACTCTATATGCACTGCACCACCTAACTTCCCAAGATAGCAAATGTTGGAGGGGATTCAGGACAACCAGCACCTCAGTGCACTGCTGGTAGAGCTGTGAATTGGTCCTGCAGTGCAGGAAAAATAATTTGGGACTCTTTTCCAGAAATGACTAAACTAGTCCTATGCTTTGCTCAGCAATGACACTAACAAGTCTAAATACTGAAAATGTCAAAGAAAGAAGAATATGACTGATATTTTCAAAAATATTTCTTGCAGTTCTTTTTGTATTAACTAAAACTAGACAATTAGAGCTGTCTACCTATTAAATTTCTTGGTATGTGAATGAAACAGTATTGTTATTATACCATAAAAGTTATGAAATCGACAAATTTGTAGGAAATTGGAAGGATTTTCACAATCTGATTCAAAGTGAAGTGAACAGAGCAAGAAGGGTAATATGTACACAACAACATAAGGAAAAACAACTTTAAAACACTTTAAAATTGAACAATGAAAGGATAGATCATGAAGTCCAAGGACTCAAGAAGAAGCCCACTGTCCACCTCCAGAGAGGTGATGGACTTCAAATGCAGAGAGAGACACAATTTTGGATGTGGCTAATGTGAGAATTGTTTTGGTGGACTGTTTATATTTGTTATGAATATTATGTTTTTTATTGTCCAATCAATGGGACAAATTACAAAGATTGATACTAATTGTATGAAACTAAAAGAGAAATAAAACCAAAACCAGAGATTACAAAGTGTGTGTATGTGTTTGGCGCAGTGGGGGATGGAAAGCCTTCACATCTTATTTGCTTGTGTATTGATAGCTCGTTTGATTGGTTCTTGTCCTTGGTACTTGAAAGGCTTAAACAATATCACTTTCTTAGGTTTAAGGCACAGAGTGTCCAACTGTAGTTAATCAGACCGATGTGAGCTTCAGTCAGACACCAATGGCCCATGGGAACTCTAAATTGGCTGATGTCATGTTTCTTTTGAGCTGCTGCAATTCCACCTTGCTCATAGAGCACAGTGCCTTCTTTGAAGCAGGCACACCATGCTGGGTGGTACTATTCCAGTGTTTCCCATGTCTCCCACTTGATTCCCAAGTTCTTCAGAGACACTTTGAGAGTATCTTCACATGGCTTCTTCTGACTTCTGTGTGAGGGCTTACTTTGGGTGAGTTCTCTGTGAAACAATCTTTAAGGAAAATGTACTTTTCACAATTGAGCAATGTGGCCAGCCAATAAAAGTTGCACTCTCTGCAGTAGAATTTACATGCTTTGTAGG